GCGTCTTCTTGTGCAGCTCCCAGAGACGTGAGATGGTGCTCCGATGCCGTCCATATTTGGCCACAGCGGCCGAAATATCGCCACCAGAAATTTCACCGTTATCGCTCCGACCTAGAAGAAAGCACACGATAGTCTGTCGCTGGGTGGGGGTTAGATTCGGTGGGCGCATTTGTGCGGTCGTCGGACTTGTTTTGAGGATGCAGCGGATCGAGAAGTGAAAATGGTCGGTGAGGAAGCATTTTGCAGACCGGCAATGGCTGCCAAGGAATGGCTTTTTGGCGCCAAAAGCTATGGCTATCAAACGAGCAGACGTAGAAGTTTATTTTGCACCAATCAGCGTCCGATAAGACGCCACCGTTCAAAGGTTATTGGCCGAAATGTAGCCGATGGTGCAAAAGAAAAAAACCGGAGGAAGTACTCTATAGGTTAAAACCTAAGCCTCATCAACAAATCAATAACCAGCCTTACTACAAACTACAAACTCACAACCTCAAAAGCTGCTATAAGAAACGTGAGCAAACTAAACAGTTTTACTGATGGAGAAATGGTTCTCGCTTGAATTCAAATGTTTGATGCAACACGGAACATCTTGGTCCAAGTCCTTAATCTTGCCCATCGTGTGCACGGCCCTTTTCTTTGTCACTGCCCTCCTTTTGGCCAAAGGCTTCGACTTTAATGCCAGACAGTTTAGTGTTGAACTGACAAGCTTCTCCTCGAAACACGTCCAAACCAGTAAATCGTGAAATGCACACGATATCACCGGGCGTCGGGACTCCGTTGCAGCCCTTGACTTCGTCCCATAACGTAGCTGTCATCAACTCCTTGTCTGAGTCGAAGCAGTGATCACCATCATACTTGTAATTCTTGAAATTCCACAAAGGACCAAGTAGGTACAGTAACCATAGGTATCATATCTTTGTCACAAATACTTTTGGCACATGCACATACCTCCAATAAGTCCTCAACGGCATCGTCAGTAACTGCATCGTAAAGATGCAGACGTACAATATGTCTCCCTTGTGTGGTGGTGTGGTAAGAGTCCCACAGAAAACGACCGTAGATCAAGACAACCTCATTATGATCCTTGGTTTGTTTCGCATACGCTCGCAGCTCTACATCAATATCAGTCTGTTAGCACAAACAAGCAAAATGATAACAAATCGTCTCAATGAATAGAATCTACCTTGCGCTGTCGCGATTTTCCTCTCCGCCTTCAGCGAGACAGCTTCACGCCGAGCTTCACGGCGCCTTTTTAGTGGTGACACATAATCTTGCGGCACAGGCAAATTAAACCGTTTGCAAGCAGATTTTTTTCAGGCAATTTGTTCTCTCCAGATTTCTTGGACACGCTTGTTCTTGGAGGCATCGCAACTGTCCTAGGCAAAACTGAGACTGCTAGCAGTTCTCTAGCTTAAATTGCAAGGGTTCGTCAGTAACCTTGTCCCACCGAGTGTCTGGAGGGTGCCTTTATACCATTTATGCTATTGCTTCCGTGTGGCTTGTCCCATTTGAGCCGCTTCGCTCTGGGTGGTACGCAAGAGAAAGTTTTTTTCCTGCTCAGAATGCATGCCACGCGTTTTTACTACAGGGTAAGAGCGATAGTGTCGCAAATAGTACGATCAACGCTCTGACCCAGCTAAACGAAGGCGGCAACATTCATCCCAGTCTTACATTTAGTACATTATGGAGTCTCAAAGCTATATCTGTCGGTGCTCGTGTGTTGGAGCAGACACGGGGACCAAGCGCAAGCGCTGTCCGTGTGGAAGTGCCCAGGAAGAAGCAAAACGGCGTAGAGCCGATCGCGATCGCATTCGCCATGCTACCGCTGACGAAACTACTCTTTATCGACGACGTCTACGACGAAGACAACAAAACCGCGCAAGAAAAAAACCGCATTGGAACTCACCAAACTCCAATGGCTTGAATCCTCCGAGACCAGATACAATTTCCCGCTTATTCGCAGAGTGTGGCAGTGGAATTTCGATAGAAGCAATACAAGAAAAGGTGTGCTGCGTTTGCGATTGTCATCACGTAGTGTCTGAAATAACGGAGAAACTGCTGAGCCGAAGCCCTGCTCTCCTGCGTTCGATGCAAAAGCGACTGAAGCCTCCAGCAAACTTGCCTTCGCGGCTTCTACGCTTCTATAGTGTTGCATCCGTGTCAAAAAACTGAAAGGGTTACTTCTATCCAGATCTGGAATTACGATTCATCAAGGCATTGTGAAGCTGCAAGTGTGCAATTCGTGCTATTTTTCTCTGATGAACAGAAGGGCGACTTCCCCGCCAAAGTTTGCTATCGCAAATGGTTTGTACATTGGCGTGCTACCATCGCGTTTTCACGACACGACAGTGACCGAGAACTCAATGCTAAATCTTGCTCAGCCTACCCAATTCGTCTCAGTCGTTCGTGGCGGGCGTCATAGCACCATTCGAGCCCACTCGTATTATTTTCGAGCAAACCCTGCCCCACCAGCACGATTGCTCCCTGAAAAAGTGGCTTCAAAAGGAATAATTGGTGTGTCAATGGTGGGCGCAATGACAGAGCGCCAAAAAGCCGAAACTGCGAAAAGATATGCTGTTCGCGTGACTCGGCTTCGCGATCAGTATGGTTGGTATCGCGCTAACAATAAGTTGTACCGTAACGTGGAGCTGACGAGTAATCTAGAGGGCGACATGAATTGTTGTTTGGATGCCGCCATAAGTGACGCTGCAACAAGTGAAGCTGACGAAAACCAGAGTGGTAATCCAGTGACTGAAACTTTGGATGCTTCGAATCGACGTTTTAACGCCCCTCCGCCTGCTTATACTGTGGCTGGTGAAGCCGATGAAACCTGCGTTCAAACAGCCGTCGCTCTTATAACCAACTACACAACAGAGGACATTAATTCCCAGGCTCGTAGAGTCATTAGCGGTGAAGGCGATGTTGC